ACTGTAGTGTACAGTCAGAGAAAGACGCTCTGATCATGAACAGCAAACACAAAAGGGATATTTTATATTTATTTTGTTGTTAACACAGTACAGTTGGGTATATTACAAAATTAATCTAAAAAAGCTGCTTTTAACTGCTTTTCCAGAATGACTTACTCTTGCACAAAACTTATCATTTCCATCTCCAAATAAATTATCAAAATTCATGTAAGGAGGGCAGATGATTCAGCATAATGCTAGATCTACAAAACTCATCTTTACAATCTAAAACACTCCCGATTAGGCAACTTCTGAAACAAGTGTTAGAAAACGATAACAGACATTATGTAAAGTTCACAGTGATTTTCTTAACAGCAAAGCTTTTAGAAGAGCAGAGCACTCACCCTCTGTGGTCCCTCTCGGTGACTAGTCTGTCAGTCTGCCAGCCCAGACCTGCCACTGAACTGCCGAGGCTCCGCCCCTCACCAGAGCCCGCCCACTCACCCTCGCAACTCTAGCTTGCCATTGGCCAGAGGGAGGGGCCCTGGCGAACCAGGGTTTCCCTTGTTACGGGTCTGTTGCTGAAGCACAGCAGCACAACTCTTGAGAATCAATTCAGAATCCATGGTTCCCACCTTGCCCACTTGGCTCCTTGTCATGTGTCAAGGATCTCCCCCAAGCTATTCCTGACACAAGCTCTCAGGGAATGTACATCTCGTTCCAGACACCCACAACTCCCTGTGTTAAGAGCGGCTCCCTCTTGACCCTGATACTCCTGGTTTTGATTTCCTATTGTCTACATGGGTCCTTCTTTCACTGCTGATGCCATAACAATGCTCCAGCTTTTCCCAGTGCTGATATGAAGCATTCACCCTGCTGTCTCCTACCTGGGCTGAAGAGATTAAGTTCCTTCAGCCATTCTGCTTCTTTTCATTTAACTGAAAGCTATATTTAACTGGAATCTCCACTGGTTTAAGAAGAGCTTCACGGCTGCAGCTGCTGTACAGGTTCTCCTACACATCGCAGGCTCTGTGGCACCTTCTCGGTGATGTCATCATGAGCTCCGAGGCACCCTCTCTGCATTGTAAGCGGGGCACATCCTGCCAGAGTACGGTCACCCCCAGCTCTCCCACCTGTATCTGTACCAGGAGCACTGCTGCCATTGATGAGCAGTGGCATGACCTGGATTCGAACCTGCGACCAATCAAATTTCCCAGCAGGCTAGGCCACTCTGGAGCCCCCTGACACTGCGAAAGACACTGTCGCCTTCCAGGACAGCAGTGGGCTCTCTAAGCGCAGAGGCACACGCTGCCCTGTCGCTCCACAGCGGTCTGTCGGTCAGGAGCCCAACCCACCCGGCAGAACCAGTGGCTCCTCAGCGGTCTGTC